ACGCGGCCGAAGCCGCCCCTATGCGTACCATCACACCCCTCCCCTATGTTTGACATTTGTTATCAGCATGCAACCAGAATAACGCCTACCGTACCCTGATCTGGCCCCCGTGTTTGTCCAGCACATCTATCACGCCGTTCATGCAATACAAATTTCTGCAGAATCAAAAAGACTTTGCATTGTTCAAAAGACAAATAAAATTGACACAATAAAACACTTTCGACAATTCTATCGCGTCCTTGTACAGTAAATCAGAAACGACAGTTGCCAACTTGAAGGAGTAGGTAGATTTTAAACGGTTGCCGAATAGATAAAGGACATCATCACAGGTGAGACGGTGTCGGTCACTGAGTTGGTACAGAACTTTGGCTATGAATCTTTCGTGGTATCTCAACGGTCAAAAAGATTGGCTTGTACCGAGTAAGTGTTCGGTCAGTCGTCGGCTACAGCTGTAAATCCTGAACTGTACGCAGGGAGAAAGAGCTAAAATTTGAGGCCCTGAGCTACCGCTGAGACTGACCCTGCCAGGGAAATAGAGGGCTTTCCCTCGACTAACACAGCCTTACTAGCGGCTACACTTCCGCGATATTCTACGGTGTCGACATTGCCATCCTTAATGCAGACAGAGATAAGAGAGATAATCTCGAAATCCGACTCGACGCGGTCAGTCACAATAACAAGGTGGTCCTTGGACATGTTGCTTTTAGTTTTGCCTGACACAGTATCAAGTTCACGTTTTAAAAGCTCATTGGCATTATTTTTCCCATATCACCGAATCTATTTTTTGAGCTCTAAGGTCTGTGTCGGAGACAACATCGAAATTCGTAGCACGAAAATTAATAGATGAGTCCACCACAACCCAGCTACAGTGGAGCCTCGGATGGTGAGCAGCCCCATCTACGAGAATTTAAGGTAAGAAACGATCCACTAGCAGAAACATTATTTCGCTTGAAGAGCTTCCGCTCAGTTGTCAGTGCATGCGTGTGTCCGCCGTTGAGTTTTGCTCCCAGAGCGTGGATCCTAGATCACCTGCAGACAATCGGTAAACTGATTGGCTACGTTTTGCAAGACCAATGTTTCACATGATGAGTTCGGTACCGGAACGGATTAAACTCGTTAACCGAGGTTTTACTGTACTTTAAAGACTGGAGGAAGGTAGGCAGAGGAGAACAAATAAATAAGTCATACACCGTATCCCATAGTTCCGGTTCTAGTTGGAGTGTGTGGCTTGTAAGACGGAGGACAGTAGCAATGATCAGTGCAACGTCAGTCGCAGATGCAGCAAGATGTGTGAGGAGGCCACGGAGAGTACGGACACTCAGTTTCTCAACCAGCAGACGAGCGATTACGTCAGCCAGTATCTTGGCTGTGGGTTGAGTAAACGCTTCGCGCCAGGTGAGGACACAGAGCGTCCGAAGGACTAGCATATTATGGTAACTGAGTTCGGAGTCAGAGCATTGAACGAGGAGGTAATCCAGGAAATCAGCTATTGTTCCTTCAAGAGCGAAGATATTCTCCCGGGAGATGCCGGCGACCAATTCTGGCTAAGAGGACAGATAACAAGTGGTTGTTTTAGTCAATAAAACTTGACGTAAACATCGTGTTATCGAAAGTATCACAAGAATTAATTTCTATTAGTCCCGAGACCGTAACCTTATGCCTATCAGACAATGAGTTTGT